TTTTATGTTTGACAGCACATATATATATATATATATATATATATATATATATAAGCTTTCATTCAAATATTATATATTAAAATACATTATATATTACACATATTTCTAAAGTATGCATTATTCAAATAATATAGAAATTATATTATAATATATAATATAATACATATTTTAATTATGATTTAATTATATTACTTTTTTTTAGTTATATATACATATTTAATTATATATATTTCGTCATCAAGTCTGTATGCTCAGCTTACTTTAATATGGGCGTTTTCAAAGTTTAATACTTTGCTCAGAAATGATTTTACTTTTCATAATGCAATCAAATCCTGCTGGAAGAAATCAAGTCTCTGCCTACTTTATCTCCCACTGAATATTTAGTTTCACTCTGAAATACATCACGTTGCAAAAGTTAAATGTGTGTTAAGCAGAAAGAATGCTGCTTCATGTTGTCTTTAACAATAAGGTAAACTCCCAAAACACAGCCACGCACAATCAAGATGATTCATTGGTAGTGTAACCCATGTGTGATGGAGCCCGTGACATGCCTGATCTCCTTCCAGCAGTGCTGTGATCTCAGGCGCCGGGCCGTGCGTTCTCTTAATATTCTCCACACAGTGGCAACCAGAGACGTTTGAAGTGCCGCACCAGACCTGATTGGGGCACCATTAGTATTCACCATAACCTACAACTCCCCAAAAACACTCGCGCACCCACAGCGACTGCCTCTTTCATCTGACGCACTCAATCATGGCTGAGCCGTGGGAGCGCTCTCGTTATTTTTAACACGACCGCTCTTGTCTCAGACTGTGAAGGTGAATTTGGTGGAGTGCACCTGGTGAAAGAGATTACTGTGTGACTAACACATGCTCTGTTCATTCAGTCCATGGCTGTGAGTTATGCAGGGTTGCACGCAATTAACACTCATTATAACAGTGAGGGGGTTGGGAAGACTCTTATTTTCACACAGTTCAGCTGAGAGTGTGATGCTCAACAGCACTCAACACATCTGACTTCCACTTTATGTTAATAGAAAACGATTTATGCCTTAACATTATCACAGTTTGAATTTTAAAGAGACAATTTTTTGTAACTCCTATTGTTGTTTCACACTTCTACACTTGAAATCTATTCAGCGTTCTGATCTGTCTAGATATGCTACTGACTCAAAGTCCATTACAAAAAGCCCCTGTTAAGATTGTTAAGATGTAATTTTAGTCTAAAACAAATGCAGCATAATTTGCATACTTCCTGGAAAGGAAAGACCAGAATGCACTGTAATGAGTAATTTTTCATATAAAATAGTGGTTGATTTTAAATATACACTATCATTAAAAAGGTTTTGAAAGAAGTCTCTTCTGCTGACCAAGGCTGCATTTATTTGATCAAAAATACAGTAAAATCAGTAATATTGTGAAATATTATTACAAATTAAAATCACTGTTTTCTGTTTGAATATATTTTAAAATGTAATTTATTATTGTGATGCAAAGCTGAATTTTCAGCATCATTACTCCAGTCTTCAGTGTCACATGATCCTTCAGAAATCATTCTAATATGCTGATTTGCTGCTCAAGAAACATTTCTTATTAATATTATCATCAATGTTTAATTTTTTCAGGATTCTTTGAGGAACAGAAGGTTCAAATTGTTCAAAAGAACAGCATTTATTCGAAGAATCTTTGTAACATAATAATAAAAGTCTTAAATACTGTTACTTTTGATTAATGTAATGCATCCAAGTATTAATTTCTTTTAAACGAAAAAAATTACTTTTGTGCATGCATAAATATATGCAAGACATAACTAAATTGAGGTAACCATTATTTTAATGATTACTGTGTTCTTTTTATGATACAATATGACATTATGATGTAAAGTATTAATTTTACTTAAAAAATCATTCTGACCCCAAACCTTTGAACGATAGTACTGCATTTCAGCCAATATTTATGCATGATACAAACACACAGAGCATGGTTAGTTTAGCGTAGTTTAGTAAGTGTTTGGATCGCAGTCTGGTACCTGGATGTTGTGAATGATGGCTTTGAACTGAGAGGAGCGCTGCATCCAGGTGTTCACCAGCTCCATGGCCCGGTCAAAATTTTTCACGTACTCGCCGTACATCTTCAGGAAAGGCGCCAGTTTCTGCAGGATGTCCCCGATGCGGGGGTTCAGATCCCTGAGGGGAGAGGGGTGGAAGTCAAGGTTCGCCCAACTCTTTGTGAAGGTCACCCTTCCCTTTCCAAAATTAGACTATTTCTAAACAAAGTTTAGTTTGTGGAAACACATATGTCACTTGGATACTTGGAAACATCCGTTTGTCCTCTAAATTCAAAATCCATCCAAAATTTCTAGTTATGTCCAAAAGAAAAAAGATCTGATTGCACGAGTCAACGTGAAAGATATTAGTCTAAAATAGTCTTCACGTTTGACAAAACATTAAATAATCTGTTAATGTGCCAAGTCTACTGTCTAGAACAGTGTTTCTCAACCCTGGTCCTGAGCGCCCCCAAACAGTGCAAATTTTGTATGTCTCCCTTATCTGACACCCATTTCAGGTCCTGGAGTTTCTTTTAATGAGCTAATGAGTTGAATCGGGTGTGTTTGATTAGGGAGACACACAAAATGTGCAGTGCTGGGCGGCGCCCAGGACCAGGGTTGAGAAACACTGGTCTAGAATATCATAATATAATTCAGCTAATCACATATGTGACCATGGACCACAAAACCAGTCATAAGGGTCAATTTTTTGAAATTGAGATTTATACATAATCTGACAGTTGAATAAATAAGCTTTCCATTGATGTATGGTTTGTTAGGATAGGACAATATTTGGCCGAGATACAACTATTTGAAAATCTGGAATCTGAGGGTGCAAAAAATATTGAGAAAATCACCTTTAAAGTTGTCCAAATGAAGTGCTTAGCAATGCATATTACTAATCAAAAATTAAGTTTTGATATATTTACAGTAGGAAATTTACAAAATATCTTCATGGAACATGATCTTTACTTAATATCCTAATGATTTTTGGCATAAAAGAAATATCAATAATTTTGACCCATACAATGTATTTTTGGCTATTGCTACAAATATACCCCAGCGACTTAAGACTGCTTTTGTGCTCCAGGGTCACATATAATAGCGGTCATATTTTATTAACTTTTTTATACATTTTTATTAATAACATATATAGAATCATTTATTAGCATTAACATTAATATTGCCTAGCTTATTATATAAAGTTGAATATATAAGTAAGCCCAAATTTATTCACATACATACAGTAAAATGACTTAGTATCTTAGTATTTTTGTCTCGCTTTTCAGTACAAATATCTAAACGTCAGATATTTTGTCTTGTTTTCTGAATTTAAATCAAAATGAGGTGTTTATGCTTAAAACAAGAAAATAATATTGTTTCCCCTTTGAATTAAGTTTCTTTTTCTTACCCCATTGGCAGATATTTTTCTAATTTTAAGCATAATCTGACTTATTTTGTATACGTTTTTCAGAAAACAAGACTTAATATCTTAAATCATTTTGCTTCTCAAGTAAATGTATCATGATTTGAGAATGTTTAGATATTTGTACTGGAAAACAAGACAAAAATACTGTGTAAGAATAATTTTTTACTTCTACTACATACGATAACATATCTCAACTTACAAAATTACATTATTGCCCAGCCCTAGTCTGCTAAATCATGTGACTATAAGGCATAAAGATATTGAGATTAGTGCTGTCAAACGATTAATCGCATCCAAAATAAACATTTTTGTTTGCATAATATATGTGTGTACTGTGTATATTTATTTTGTGTGTATATATATATATATACACACACATATATATATATCAGGTACAGGACATGGCAAATTTTCTCAAGGAAAAAAAAATCTGAAATAATGCTGTAAAATATACCTGAGAGTCAATAATATGGCAAATTTTATTGAAATTTGCTGATTTGTATACAAACACTTTAAATTACATAATTATATTTCTACTCCAATTCTTTTTTTTTTTAAATATAAACATTTAAATGGTGGTTGTCACAAAAACTTGAACAATTTATTCAAACATAAATACATGCATGTATATATTTAAGAAAAATATGCTATGTTTATATATTAAATATATTTATATATAATATAAAATATAATAATATAAATATATAAATGTATATACATGTAAATATTTTCAAAATATATACTGTCTGTGTGTGCATTTTTTATATACATAATAAATAAACACAGAACACATACATATAGTATGTAAACAAAAACTATTATTTTGGATGCGATTAATCACGATTAATCGTTTGACAGCACTAATTGAGATATAAACATTAACATCATGATTTTCTGCAAAGCCACTTTGAAACAATGTGTATTGTGAAAAGTGCTATATTAATAAATTGGACTTGACAGCAAGATAAAACATTAGTAGCATTACCATTTTACCATAATAAAATCAATCTCACAGTCTTTCTTTCTTTCTTTCTCACCATTCCTCCATGCGTTTCTCCAGCGCGGGCAGCAGGAACTGCTGGTGGAAGCAGTAGATGGAGCAGATGTTGGAGAAGATGCCCATGACCACCTCACAGGGGAAGGAGCTGCGAGCTCGGGCCTCCTCCATCAGCTGGGCGCAGAACACCTGGTCCAGGAGGTGCAGTCTGGACACGTAAGCCTTCTCTGTATGCAGCAGCTCATTAGCAATGTTAAACACCCGCTGCTGGACTGACAGCTGCAAAACGAGAAGATGTTGGCGGAATAATGAGTTTGAACAAACCTGTGACAACAAGTTGGACTGAAGTGCATAGAATAAGTCTCATTCTTTCTAACAGTAAGAACTTTTAAAAACATTCAGATTTAAAATGTATAAATTAAGAATTTTGTGATTTTGAAAAAGGTTTCTTATGCTCACCAAGCATGCATTTATTTGAGCAAAATACAAATAATTAAAAATAACAAATACAAATATATATTTTTTTTAAATATACTTTTTTCCAGGATTCTTCAATGAATAGAAAGTTTTAAAGAAGCATTTAACTAAAATAGAAATCTTTAGTAAAATTATAGATGTCTTTACCACTGATCAATTTATTACATCATTGCTGCATAAAAGTATTAATTTAAATTAAAATGAAATTTTACTGACCCTAAAATTTTGAATGGTAGTGCTATAAAAATAAAGAAATAAATAATAAAATCTAACATGTTATTAAATAAATATTAAAAAACGTATGTGATTTGTATATCATGCATTTTAAAAATAATTGTAACAAATACATTTTATATGTATTTTTTTATATATTATATATCTATTTATATATAAATGTTATATACACTACATAAGTATATATGGTTAAAGTAAATGTTTATATTATTAATTTTATAATATTACAATATATTTTGTAAATGTTTATATTATATTAATATATACTTAATATAAACCATAGTTAATATTAAAATGCTTGTTTTCATACATAGGGTTATGGTTAAATTTATTTTTAAATTATATATTAAAATACATTACTTACAAAACAATATTTTAAAGTATAAATATATATCATTTTATAATATATAATTAGAATTGTAATTATATAATATATAAATTATATACAATTATACAAGATAAAAATTGTATAAATAATTAAAAATAAATGAATAAAAAATATTTAAAATATAAAAATTGCATTAAAAATTTAATTATAAAATACAGATTATGTTTATATTTAATAATATATTGTATTTATAAATACATATATTAAAAGTATATACTGTAGTCAGGGTTTCCTGCACCAAATTTGTCATTTATCTCTTAGAATTAATTAAGCTGTTCATGTATACGTATGTGTTTGTGTGTATTCACAATATGGAAGTCAATATGGAGTCTTTGGTAATACCCTGGTACCAATCCATGACTAATTTATTTAATAATTTCCCAAATAGGTGCCTATATAAATCCTCACCTCAGTGGAGTCCTGTCGTTCAGCTTTAGGCAGAGGTTGAAGGGCCATGGGGTTCATCTCACTCTCATCCCCGCTGCCCTCCTCCATATCACTGTCTCCCTCGGAGTCTCTGCCGCCCTCCACACCGCTGGCCCCCTCTCCTTCGGGCCCCTCGGCATAGCCGCAAGGAAGCCCGGGCCCTGGACTGCAGGGGCAAATCTCCCTCTCGTGACTGACCCGATCCTCGTCCCCGACGAAGCAGAGCTCCTCGCTGTGTGAGGGCGAGCTGATGCTGTCGATACCACTGTCTCTATTGGCCAGCTTCCCATCCATCTGTGACGGTGGGAGGGACAAGCGATCCGAGGGGATTTCTGATTGGTTGGCTGTGAGGTCCCTCATTTCCATGGTGTCCAGCAGTTTATCAGAGGCACCGTAGCCCGATTCCATAGAGAGACGCTTTTCTGAGCAGGTCGCCCCGAGTTCACTGTCATCCTCCTCGGTTTCGTCCACCTCATCTTCCTCCTCCTTTTCTTCTTTCTCGACCTCCTCCTCGGCCAGTGGCGCCTCTAGTGGATCCTGAAGAGACGTGCAGGGCAGGATGAACTCTGAGGGTGGAGGGCTAAATGACCCAGAAGCGGCCTGCTGTTCGGGGACCCGTGGGGTACACATCACTCCCCCGGTGATATCTGGTACCACGATGATCTGCTCTCTAAAGAAAAAAAAAAAAGTTACATGTGACAAATATATATTTCTAAATATATGTATATAAATATTTAAAACACCACATTGTGAGCACTGTATTAAAATAATATAATAAATAAAATACAAAATTTATTAATATTAAAAAATAAAATAAAATTAAATTAAATTTCAACATCCTTAAAAAAAATTAACACTTCAGACAACATATATTGGATTAATTCTTTCTTACACCGTTGGCAAATAAAAAATGTAAACTAAAGTAAATTAAAAAAATACATTTATGAACAATAAAAAATTTGAATTAAAAAAATACATTTAGAAAGATTTATGCTTAAAAAATAAGAACCTATAGCTATATTCTCTAAAAAGTCTTAATATCTTATGCAATTCTTCTAAAGTACATATTGCTTTACCTTCATTTTTAAGCCAAAGTAAATAAAAAGATCAATTTAGTAAGATGTATGGTTAAAAATAAGAAACTCTCTAGCTGTATTCTCTAAAAAAAATGTCTTAATATATTATGCAATTCTGCTTCTCAAGTACATCTTGTTTTCAGGATGTTTAAATATTTTTACTGGAAAACAAGACAAAAATACTGATTAATAAATCATTTTTGGCAGTGAGATTAAAGATATAACTTCTTGTTTACCTGTGATCAACAAACGGAGATATCATTACTCGAGAGCACCAAATCAGAACTGTAGTTATGAATAATAAAATCTACCGTAATCAAAAAGCGGCTCCAGTGACAAGTGCTCGAATGATTGTGATCTCTCACCTCTCAAACTTCTCGATGAGCGAGAGGACACAAGTGGGGGAGGAGCTTCCCTCTGCTCTCGGTAAGGTGGCGTGTGATTGGCGGGGGT